TTTGTATTTGGGGAAGGATCTGGACCAAAGAGAACGATATCGTCCGCATACTCAACTTCTGTGAGGGAACATCCCGGAAACGTTTCGACTCCCGAGGTTTCAGAAGCAGGGAGAGAAATTTCAAGCAACATACCAATGACAAAGTTGAAGAGAAAAGGGGAAAGGGGACACCTTGTCTCTCATCAGTGAACGTGGTGAACTTAGGCGAAAACTTCCCGTATACTCGTACGCGCCCAGAGTCCGCATACAGCGCCCTCATAAGGGAAAGGACAAATTTTAATCGCTAGACACTGCCAAGGTTGCTGACGATCGAATGCAGAAAAACGACAAAAGTGGGACGTCTGAACGAGTGTTGCTGCTCAAGAATGTGCCTCAAAGTAAATATATGATCGATGCATCCTCAATCAGGGCGAAAAATAGCTTGATTCTCACGAATCTCTCCCGATAATCCATCAACCTGCGCAAAATAATGTCAGAGAGCACCTTAGATGCGGCGGATATCAGGCTGACACCAAGATATAATAATAATAATCGTCCAGCTGTAGCACCCTTACGGTGCCTAGCTCCCATGCCACACGAAGGAGGCACGAGGGCTGGGATACTGCCAGGTTGCCCAAGCCTAGACAGGGGAAGTCGAGTGGCAGAGGTCGGGTTCGAACCACGGACCTTCCGGTCAGTAAATTGGCGCTCTAACCACTTGGTCCATCTCGCCCTGACACCAAGATGGTTTTCACATGACGCAAAACGTGCACATCTCACCTATCCACTGAGAAGCTACTGCACTCAGAAACTAGACGGAACAAGCTGCTCCCAGAACGCTTGCAGTATAGTCCAATGTCGGATGTTAACGGCCACTGGGGAAGGACATTCAAAGCGATAATCAAAGCGGCAAAATCCAACCAATCTCATCCAAACTTTGGATCTCTGATAGGACCGCAGCTTTGTTGGAGGTCAGGTGAAAGATTCATCCCGGCCGCAGGCGCTATCCAAACCGACTCCAGTGTCCCTACAGACCAAGAAGCTCGAAAACTCAAAAGGTGAACTCGAAAGGCCGAAGAAACAGATGCGAAAAGGGCTGGAAAAGCATGAATGGGTCAGCAAAGGAGAACGATTAAAATATTGGATAAAGGACATCCATCAATTCAGTTGACGACCTGCTATCTACAATTCGGAATACTGGGCTTCAGTAGAAAGGCGGACTGTGGACATGGAGCCATCTTCAGTCCCATTACATATATCTCTAATTAAGCGCCAACACGATCCTGGTTTCAACGACATTCCGCCTGTTCTGTTGAAGGACGGTGGTGGATTCTTAATCGATGCCTGTCTGGCCCACTTGCGTCCATCTCGAAGGGTCGATACCGGTGTTCATTGATAAAAAGAGTGCTCGCAATGAATGTAGTAACCATAGAGGTGTTACTTTGACTCGCGTTGTAATTAGGCTTCTGACGTCACTCATGCTTCGTCGTCTTACGATGACAGGCAAATTCTGGAACCGTAAATATCAAGCGGGATTTCAACAAGATAGAAGCTGTGTCGACTATGTCTTCACACTCCGTCAGGTGTTAGAGCAACATCATTCGTACAGACGACCGTTGACTTCAAGGGTGCGTTCGATTCTGTAGATCGGTCAGTGTTGTTAACCACAGTTGCTCAACAGGGTATGTCCCTATATTCACATACCTCTGGGCATGTGAGCGCGTGGTGAGCTCTCTCCATTATAAAAAGTGGTGCCTGGCAGAGATCTCTACTCTCTCCGTTCTTGACCCACTATTTCATGAATGAAATAATATGAACGCTAGAAGGCCCTAAGATCTCGGTATTCTGATCTCTGCTGATGAGAAATTGTCGACCTGTAGTACGAGAATGACACCGCTTTTATCTTTGGAGGCGAAGACAAAGTAGAAGCCTAGACGAATAAACTGACAACTTTCATACCATCTTTCGAAGTGCGCCTAGCACCTTCAAGGGCGGGATGGCTCAGTGGTTAGAGCGCAGATTTACTTACCGAAATGTCCGTGAAAGGAACCCGGCCTCTGCATCTCGACTTTTCCTGTCTAGGCTTGGACAATATAGCAATATTCCAGCCCCGTGCTGCCTTCGGGTGGCACGGCAGCTAGACACCGAAAGGGTGTTGCACCTGAACGATTATTATTATTGTACCTTCAAACTGTAGAGTCATGCTTAAGAACGTGCGCTCTCTAAACGTACCCCTTACTATTCGAGGAGAATCAGTGAATGTTGTTGGGAATTTTACACATCTCGGTAATGGCATTAGCTCTGACGGAAGTGTGCTTGATGAACTCACAAGCACGAACCTCAGATACCAGAATCACATTCGCTAATGTGCGTCACTTGTGGCGTCACTGGGTCTCAAGAGTCGCTTGTACCGGACTATAGTAAGGGCTGTATTGTTGTATGGTTGTGAGACACGGCATCTGCGGATACATCGTTTGAGGTATCTTCAGGTTTTCAACCATCGATGCCTCAAAAGCGCTGCTGGTTTTGGATGGCACCAACGGATTAGTAACGATGCTATTAACAAACGAGTATATGGTTGTGGAGCAGGTATGTCGGTCGCTAGAAATATGCGGCACCATCAACTACGGTGTCTCGGCCATGAGCTACGCATGCCGAAACACCGTCTACCAAAACTTTGTCACTCTATGCTATTAACAAACGAGTATATGGTTGTGGAGCAGGTATGTCGGTCGCTAGAAATATGCGGCACCATCAACTACGGTGTCTCGGCCATGAGCTACGCATGCCGAAACACCGTCTACCAAGACTAATGTTGTCACTCTTTGTAATGGCGCAGATCGCGCGGTGGACAACGTATGACTTAGCAGACGGCTGTGAGACATTACGAAGGAGATTACGAAATGATATTACAGATTACTAGAACGATATTACTAAGAGTTTGGGTTTTGTTGGTGCAGTACGCTTTCCAGGATGGAGCCCCTATGAGCCCTCTTGCGGTTGATTAGAAGCATTGCAGAAAATGGCATCTGATCGATGTCAGTGGCATTCGTATTGTAGGTTTCTTTCCGGATTGTCCGATTGGGCGTCTTGAGGTGTCAGCATCTCAGAAAGCTTGCGATAGGCCAGCATCAGGTTCCCTCCCTCACCCACTTCTTTCTCTACTTTTCACTCTAAGGCGGCAGCGAAGCAACAATAACTGATGCATTGAAGCATCAGTATCAACACTGATGTTGCTGTCCTTGATGGTGGTGATGATGACGGCATTGAATAAAAGTAGCTAACTGCTATGTGGTCGATTTCGGGCCAAGTTGGTTAAAATCTGGAGCGAAGTGGAACACGACATGCACACTTGTACTGAAAGCATGTGCTCGCGACAATGATCAGTGCAAGACCGAGGGAAGCAGTCCAGTTGTCGGTGTTGAGAGCGTTTACACCAAATATACAAATGAGCTTGTCTACTTTCTTCGCCTGGACGCCGTGGATTTCACTATCCGGAAGTGTATGGAACATTATCCGTCGTAAATAGTCTTGAGTAGTACTGCTCTAGTTTATCGAGACACATGAACAGTAGGTCTCGAGTGGGTGAACATCGGATGTCAATCCTACCAGACAAGGATAGTATGGCAATAACAATGATAATTTTAATAAATATTATCCAGCTTTAACGCCATTTCGGCGCCCAGTTACCATACCATTCAAAGAAAGGACAACAGGTGAGATACCGCCAATCTGCTTAGGCCTGGACAGGAGTAGCTTCGATGCCGTGACCTGGTTCCACACACGGAGCTTCCTTTCATGAGTCTGAACGTCAACCACTGAGCCATTTCGAGCTCGTCTGATGGCAGACGGTCGGGTGTTCACCAGAATCCAGTCAACTAATGTCCTCAGCTCTCATTCACAAAGCGATACTAAAACAACTGGAACCACAATGCGACGCTTCTGAATCTCCAGACGTTCAAGTGTGTTCTGAATGGCAGGCATGGCGAAGGAACACCTGGACAGAAAGTCTTCTGCATTTAAACCCTTTCCTTGTGGAGTAAACCAACGGCCATAGATCGTACGAACTGCAAAAGAATTGGCTGGATTACTAAGCTGCAGATTCTCCACTACGTGAACGGTATTTTTAGACGCACAATGAAACCAATTACCAAAACTGGTGGACTCTCATTGTAGTTCACGCCTGTTTTCTGCTTACAGAAACCGATCTTATCGATGCGTGTTATATTTTACATATATGCCGATCGATTCTGAGTGCTACCTGCTCGCCTGCCGTTCAGTACCCTGTAATGTCCTTATTCTTTCATAGTCGTCGTACCAGGGCTGCACTTTGAGTCGTCAGTCAGAAATTCAGTACAAGTCTTGACGTGGGTGTTGGCCGCAGATTACCCGACCGTTATGTTTAGCTACAACTGGCGCCACACAGGTGATTTCGCAAACTACTGTATTTATGCCTTACCAGGTACCAAATTATGAAGCTGTTGGCAATTCCTGAACAACCGGAGTGCAAAAATACTCGTGCGAACTGAATTGGATGGCAAGGATTGCTTAAAGGAAGTGGATACATGTGATTTATCGTAGACATCGTCAGCCAGTACGCCGAGGTGGTGCAAAGGTAAAGTAATCCATTATCTTATCGCAGAGTACTGCGGAGTTAGGAAATTCGATTCGTTGAACTGCTTTGCACCTGAAAATCGACCACTCATTTTCAGAACCAGTACCAAATAAGTGATAGCAGCGGACAGTCTTGTCAGCTCTGTAAAAAGTTAACATCCCATCCCCTAGAAAATGGTGGTTGACTAGGGTGAACATCACCGGGTACTGGATCCTGCCAGAAGATCTAGTACATCTGGCTGGTAGTTCAGCTCAACATTAACATGAGACGGATGTACAAAATATGGAACACTAGCACTGGAACTGTAATTCTCAGCAAAAACTTATACCACTAAACATATCGACAGTAAAGCTGAAGTATGGAATCAGTGAGACCATGGCAAAATGAACTTTCTCAGAATACTAACCAGGATAGAAGTCATTCGGTTTGGACAGCTTGATTCGGGCACCAGTTTCCCATTGGACGTGAGCGATAGATTCGCCACCTTTACCAATGATAGCGCCCACGGCTCCAGAAGGAACCAATATTTTCATATGGATCGTATCTAAGCAATCAACGCTAGATGATTTATTCGCATACCATTCCTCTTCCTTCCTGTATGAGAAACCGGCGCGCTTTTATCCGGTTCTTCCAAGCGGCCTTCATCTTCCTGCATCACTCCGGACTACCTTCATAAAACGTTGAACGTAGTCACCAGACAGTTACCAGTGCTTGATCTGACCACCTTAGAGGAAGCACATAAGTAATGGCGCTTTAGATCAATCAGGTAATCTGGGGTCGGCGCAAACGGGCACAGCTGACATGCGTCCAACAGCTGATTTCAGATGGAGTCTCAACACCGATTGGTGCATTCAAACGATGGACCGGGCGGAAATACCTACGCAGGTCGACTGCAACCAGGAGCCGCCAGACATTCTGTATCACTGAAAACTAAGTATATACCTCACTTTCTATGCACCAAATCATACAGCATTCGCGGGCGTTCAAATTATAGTCACGAATTTATCTTCGGTTTTGCAAACTTGAGCCTATCCCAATCAGATTCTCAAGGGTCACGCTGCAGATGACTTAACGTCGGTTTCTCACATGGAATGTTTCGACACCCAACACTACGGTGATTCAGAGTTTCAGGCAAGTTTGTCCATGCATGGGTATAGGTATATGTGGGGTATGGGTATGCGGGCATCAGTTCAATGAAACCAACGTTCCACAAGGTCCAGATACTGAATTCGATAACTTCTCTCATACGTTCGGCGTGTATTCTTATGCTTAAATTTTTGGGGTAGTATTTGAATGAACTAATGATCAAGGTCATGCAAGGCGTCGAATTAAGAAGTTTGCGCGGACAGAAAATTCCTCACGAGGATACAGCAATGCGCGCTATTTCACGGGAACCCCGTAATCTTTTTTGAACAGTCACGACTCATTAGAAATTTGTTTAAATTAACTTGCGGTCTGCTTCTTGTGCGAATTTATTGCTCCAGTGGCTAGCGGAATCATCGTGGTCGGCTTCTGACCACGGAAAAAGAGTTCGCATAGGACTTGATGCCTCCATGTTTCAACTTCTTTGCATTAGAAAACTCCTTGAATTATTGATTCGAAAAAAATCAGTCACCTATGAATTGGCTTTCCTGAGCTCACTCTTGAATGCAATAAATGCAGCTAGGTGCATACTCCGAAGTGCAAGCCGTTCCATGTTAATTGAGAATTACTGGCCATTGGGATTGGCCCGGGAAACATGCCGACGTGATGTTGTATACCTTTCTTGCTTTCATTATAACATTGCACACTTCATTAATTGTAAAAGAGTCTTGTTTGGATACGCACGAACCAAAAAAGGCGTTTATGTATAGTCACGCAAAGACAGACGCGGTCGTGTGCTCCAAACTTCTCATCCGAATTTGCTCGCGCTTGCAGCAGTCATCGGCGCATTTAATGCACTAAGTCTCCTATCAAAGCATTTTGGACTATCTTCAGATATTTTCGTACGCGAGAATTCTTCAAAAGAGGTGTTATGGATTATTCATGATTAGTATTAATATTATTTATCCGCTGGCCTAGGCTAACAATAGGATATTTTAAAGAGAAGAGTTGTAAATGAATCTGTCCTATTCGACCCTCACTATTATTGTATACTCAATCTAGCGTTATTATCTTTAACTTCTTCGCTCCTGAACGGCCTAGGCTAACAATAGGATATTTTAAAGAGAAGAGTTGTAAATGAATCTGTCCTATTCGACCCTCACTATTATTGTATACTCAATCTAGCGTTATTATCTTTAACTTCTTCGCCACGCTCCTGAACGGTAACTTTTAGGGTAGCCAGACCAACGCACCGACTGTTTTCTTCTTTAACTAAGGATTGAGGATTCTGGTGAATGTCTTGCACTGGTCATTTTATGTTCGTCTCTACGAACTTGAGTGCAAAATATTTAATGATGCGGGACTAACGAGCAGCTGTGTTGCTTCTCCTCGTCACATATTTTTGCCACCTAAGCCTGCTCTCCGTGAACGTCACTGTTTCCTCTCCTGAGAGCGCCGTCCCAATAAGTTTGACATAGGTTGACCAGGTTCGCCATATTGTTCAATCTTGTAGAAAATTGGCAGCACTTATGTTTAGCAGCCCTTGTGCTCCTTTTTGGTCACCACAGACCTCCCATCAAGGCCACATATTTTCTGAATATGCGCTTCGGCGGATTCAGGTTGACACGGATTTCTGGCTCTACCGCGACCATAGACAACGTTTATCCTGTTAATAGCTCGCAGGTATCGCGAAGATATGAATGCTGCGACCACTGAACCAGGATTCGTTTCTAAATATTGGCCCACTGGCTGTATAACGACTGCGCATTCCTGAAAATTTCATTTGGAAGTGTGACTGAAGGATGTCTACAAGAGGACAATTTTCGTCTGAAATAGCTGGTTTACCGCTCTGATGCCATACACAAAGTGGCTCTTGTGAGTGTGAGATGGATACGCCACGTCAGTATGTTGCCAGGGTAATCATGGGTGGTGAAAGTTGCCTTCTAATTGTGGTCGACGGGAGGGCTGCATATGAGTCTCCCATTAAATTGGGGCACCCATAACCACGCCGACAAGGCGTGATTATAAAGAAAATACTAACGGTGACAATATCGTAGAAGCTTAGTTGTACAAGGCCACGTTCAACGGCTGATCGGAACTGAGGAATTTCATGTAGCTTGCTGCTACCGACCGTAACCCTAGAAAACTTGGGAGTTATGTGAAATGCATGTGGTCTTATCAACAGAGAAATGTTTGATACCGAAAACCCTTATATGAGTCAGACGAAATCACCCTCGTCTCTTCCCTCTTGCGAGTGCTCTACAACGTTAGTCCTGGTAGTAAGAGTTAAACTCACTGATGCCAATGAGCTCCTCGTTGGAGCCGAAAATACTGACGGATGTAGACGTCACGTTACCAGAGTAGACGATCCCGGATCGCACGCGTACAGCTCACTTGTGGGTGATACACAACCGGTGTGCCACAAGGTGGAAGACAACTCGTGGATCCGTGCGAAGCAGCAATTCCAGATATTGTCGGTGTCCGTTTGCTGGTATTTTGATACACATAAACCTACTGTACGGCATTGTTCAGATAAATTATACGGCGGAATACGTGCTGACTTTTCGCAGTGTCAGCGACCAATATACATGAATGCTATGCGTTGCATGCGTGGCTCCCGATAGCTCTTCTAATGTCGAAGTAGCTTAACACTGCGTTGCAGCTGAATACTACTCCCGCTGTCCGCTTGTGTCCCACCGGTTTTCACATTGGAAAAGTCTACGCAGGATACTGTTTGTCTATCGTATCCTTGAATTAACCGGAAGATTCGCGCATGTGAGCAATTTGTTCACCTTCTACAAAAGCATATACAACCAAATGCATAGTACCCATGCCATCCGTGAGCAGGAGTTTATAGAGCTTGAATCTACAGTCCAGATAATACTTGCTAAAAAAAACCCACGCAAGACGTCTTTATGTGTATGTGTTCCGTCGACATTTACTTGATTTGGGAAGCTTTACAACTTCCATCTGGAGAAGTGTATGTGGATATAGTAACCTTCCCTTGACCGCAGCACAATCATGCATCAGATCACTTAATGTTTTGCCAGGAACAAAGGCGTATCAACTATCATAATAAAACCATCTATGCATCGCCTGCCCAGCAGAGGTGGCCAACTTCCGACGGTAGTTGTATTCGTCCTGAGTGACCGAATCGACCGATAACAAACTGCCGCACTTTATACAACGGAGATCCATACTTCAGCAGCGCCTTGCATGCGCCTAACTCCTCTTTGTTTAGCTGTCAGTTTACCGGAAACCGATCGTACGAAAACTTATAAACCTTATGATTGTGTTCAAGATAACACTTCTTCGACGAAAGCTCACTAGACGGCTGATGTCTCACACACTGCTTGTTACTAGAAAACACGCCGAGCTTGCTAACTTTTTCGGACTCCTCGACGTTTTTTGCGTCTTGCAGGATGTCTACTGCATTTGAAGTGCAGCCATTTGTACTGCAGGGCAGCATTGGTATTACTGTTACTATACTATACTACTATACTATACTATTACTATATGAGCACACAACCACTACATAATCATCCTCAAATCATCCGTTCAGCGACTTCTCAAGCAAGGTCAAGGATGAGAATGCTAAACCCAGCAATTTCTCAACAAACTTAGGAGCAATCACTTCACAAGCTGTAACACACCGCTCACTGGTTTCACCGAAACCATTATGTTTTCGAAGCTTCGACTTCCACGAGGAGTTGGTATAATCATTTTCACCATTTGGTGATATTTTATTCATAGCATTTGTTTAAGTGGGCGAAATGTCAAGGTAACGGACAATCACCTATTTGAGTTTCGTTACCGGTTTAAGAAAGATGTATCACCAGATCGCACTTAGGCATATTTTGGCGTGCTCCGGTGTTCTTTAAGAATGTATTACCATCTACAGAATTTCCAATTTAAAACCCATCCAGGAAACTCGGTCATTGACGTTTGTTTGATTCATACTCCCCAGATTAAACAGATGGGGGACCTTGTTCTGTGAACTTCATCGAAGCACATTTTCCTATGGAGCTCAGCTTCCGTTAGGTACAACCTTGTCAGACAACAGCATGGATTGTACAGTGGAGTATAGAGCGTCACGAGCTAACTGTAGGTAAATAATCAACACAATGGTATCGTCCCTATTAGGAGTACGATGCTACACAGGTAGATAACGTCATAAAGGAGCCACCATATTAGTGGTAGCCGTTTTCGCTCACCTCGACTACCTGTCGCAACTGCTAGGCCCGTGTCTATGTGTGACACTGGTTGCTGCTTGTCTTATCTATTTGTTGTAGCAAACATTAGGACAGTGAAAAATGTGGATCGATAAACACTACGCATCACCTATGCATGATATCCCAATCCAATGGCCAACGACGGTCCATCATACTCATAACCGTACCCGGTTTCGCCTATCTGGGCTGCTTATAGTAACTGCCGAACCCGAACCTGAACCCATGCTCGCGGCTGACATTGAGGCTACAACCCATACTGCACTAATCCAACGACCATCTGCGGTCCTTCATATCCGTAAATGCCCGCCTGTCAAGTGCGCGTCTGAAAAATACACAACCACATTTGGCGAATCATGTTTCTATTTATTGGTTGCATCGGCACAAAAACAATGTGTATTCAGTCTAGTTCTGTTTTAGGATGCCGCTTTCAATCAACAGGGTTTCTGGAAGGAAAACAATTATAATCAGTTACGACTGGCACACACATTTATACACAGCGCATAATCAAATAGAGC